AGATCCATTGTCTCAGAATTGCCTTAGGAAGTAGAAAAACCACTCCAGTTTGCTCACTTGAGGTGGAAGCTAATATCCCTCCTCTTTCAATCCATCATCAAGAACTACTGTGTCGATATTATCACAGACTTACCACACTTCCAATGTCCTCCATCATTAGCAATCTCTTCTGTGCTGAAAGAAATGATCCATATCCACCAGCATCTGCCTCATTACTGCCTTCCCTGACTGCTCTGTCTTGTGCAATCTTTACTCAACATAATCTACCTTCTTCCCATGCCATTGAGACATTCTTTACTGTCACCACTTCCTCCTTGGTTCAATATCCATAAACACATCCTAACAATTTTTTCATCAACTCCTGTAACAGGCCTCACATCCAACATGGCCTTACAAATCTTTCAAGACCTTCTGCAGACCTAGTTTACAAACTTTACAACAGCCTACACTGATGGTTCTTGCATTACAGAACCTTCAACTTCTGCATCAGCAGCTATGGTGGTCCCATCCCAAGGAGTTCTCCTCAATTGGAAACTCCGTCCAGAGGTATCCGTCCTTGAAGCAGAACTATTTGCCATCCATGAAGTGCTTGAGCGGGCTCAAAATAACCTTGAAAGTAATGAGAAGTTTGTAGTATTTACAGACTCCCTTAGCTCACTTAACCTAATTGCTGATAGAAAACCTCATTCATATGTACATCTTATTTTTCAGATCCAAGAAAAGCTGATGGCGCTGGCATCCCCACATGACCTCCAACTACAGTTTATTCCAGGTCATCGAGGCATTGCTGGGAATGAGGAAGCGGACCATGCAGCATCACTCACCCACTCCCTTCGGGGAGTGGGCAAGTACCCGTACAATCACTCCTAGGTCAAAGGAAGAGACGGTAAGAAATATCTGGCTTGTTTTTATTGAGCACTGGCAGCAGGAATGGGTTAATATCACCAAAGCTTCAGGAAAGAGCCTTCTCCTCTGCCAAATTAAAGATAGAGTAGGCAATTGGCCTTGGGCACTTAACCAAAATAGACTTGTGGAAACAGCACTTGCTAGACTTCGGATGGGTCATGCTGGAGTGAGAGTACACTTGGCTAGGTTCAGAATTGTTGATAACCCTATGTGCAACTGTGACCAGTGTGTAGGAAAAATAGATCTTGCTGCTCCACTGCCATCTGCATGCTCAGGCCCGAACTTTTGTCAAACACACTAACCTTGCTGAACGTTGATCAATCTGTAAAGAACTTGCCAGGAGGCCCTTTCCCACATGAAACACAGGTGAAGATATTAAAGCCATGACTGATTACCTTATAGAAATTAATGCCCTGAAGCAAATGTAGTCTTAATAAATGGAACCTAGTTTATATTGACCTATCTTAATGTTAGTCAGATATAATATTGTACTTCTGCCTGGAATCTCTAACAATTTGAGTATGCTAACTACAAATAACACTCTGTGGAACTAACTTTATATTATACCTTCAGGAAACACACCTGTGGTGCATCCATGAGTTTTAAGTAGAGGTTTCTCTGAGCAGATCAATTGAATACTGTAATGACTGCCTGTGTGAAGGGTGCCTCTATTTGTCTCCACCAGATAAACAAATATTCCCTTGCCTCCTTTTGAGCCCTGCCCATAAGAGATCCATCTTGTTTGCACATTTGCATTAAACATTATTTTGTGATAGTAATTTTTGGCTGAAAGAGGCTCCAGGTTGAGCCACCCAGGCTGGACCCTCACCTAGAGTCTGGGTTCTTGTATGTGGCACAAGGTAGGGCATCCTGTAGCTACTAACTTGGGCAATTTAGTTTAGCTCTATTAATGTAGTCCTCTGTTTTAGAAGTGCTACCGTCAACTGGGGCTACTCGGGACGGGCGGGGTAACTCGGGACAGTCCTCCGACACGGCGTAAAACTGTTTTAGTAGCAAAACTAATTGGAATATTGCAAAACTAAATATAGTGGCGTAAACATCAACATTTTTCCTATCTATGTAGTATAAAGGAAGTTCAAAAATACTACATTTACTAGCTTTGAAAAATTCCTGAAAAAAATGGTGAAAAACAATATTTTGAAAAGTTACCTACTTCTGCTAAGGTCTGTAGTAAAAAAAATATTTGCTGTATTAAAAATTTTCTTAGAAAAAAGTGGCAGACAAGTGTCAGCATGAAAACTTTATTCGTGGAATTTACATACCTCAATCCAAAACAAAATGGTGGCAATCTCCGCACGGCTGGGCTACTCAGGACACCCCCCCCTGGGCTATTTGGGAAACCCCCATAAACGCATTCACAGTAGAACTTCAGTTAGCTAAGGCTCCAGACAAGAAAAAAATTGATTAAAAACAAAGAATATTGATTACATTTACCTCGCTTGGCGAAAAAAATTTCACTTATCGAAAAACTAGTGCATCATCGGTCATCACAAAATTGTGCATAGAATGTCATATATAGAATTGTGCACCAGGCATCATAGAATGAAAAGTAATTGACCCAAACTATGATTTATTTCTCCAAAACATATGATGGTTGTCACTAAAACATTACTTTCTGTTTCAGGTATGTTTTTCACAATCTTTTTTTATAGTAAATTCACTTAACCCAATTAAAATGGTGTGAAATTACAAGCCATCCTGTAAGCTTACAGATACAAAAAAAAAATGCTATTAGGCTGCTGATATGAAGCTTGCAGTGGACAAGGTTGCTGTAAATGCTCAATGGCATGTTCATGGATACGGTAATATCGCATCAATAATACGGTAATTAATGTATATGGTAATATCATATCAATAAAGGAAAAACAAGTAAAAATCACAGAAAATGTCATTTATTCTACCTCTACATCAGCTACAATGAAAGAGAAGGACTTCAGAGTACTGTTAGTAATGGATGAGTACACTCTGCATGCTTCAAATGTCTGCATGGATGAGTACTTCTGTATGCATGGACACTCTTTTTTTGCTTCTGGCACCTTAAGAATAGCATATGGAATTTTTTTGGAGAAGTCATGTGACAGCCCTTGCAAAGAGCTTTGAAATGAGCCTAAACTTGTTTATGAAATGTTTCATGGTAAGAAGTCATGAATGAAAAACGTTCAAAATCATCCCGAGTAGCCCCGGTTGATAATAATTGCTAGCAATTCTTAACAAATAAATGTCATTTTATTTTGAAACGCATTTGCTCCCTGATCTGCCTTCAGCAAATTATTTCCCTGAACATGATACTGTAAAATGGGGTAACTTAGACCGGTGGGGTAACTTAGACCACGTTTTGTTTTTTTAACAAAAACCCCCAAAACTCAAAAACTATTTGACATAGAAAAATTTTGTCAATAGGCATTAAAGGCCTAATACTGAGGCTACATAACACAATAGAAAGATTTAAAAAGTTTGCATATCTAATAGGTTAAAAAATTGAAAATGTGACCACGAAAAAAAGCTATTATTTACACAGCCTTGTCTGTTGAGATGTTCTTCAACCAAGATCTGTTCTTGCCAATTTTTTGGTGTCAGATCAATAATATTTTTACTATTTTGTTCTAAAATGATTACCGTACTTAGGTAGGTCATTTAGCGAACTATATAAACTTTTACAACCAAGCGGGCTGCTCCGTGTGCCTGCATAGAACTGTGTCTTGTCAGACTTACAAATGACATCAGTGTTCCATAAGCTACAGATTTCATGTAGTTTTTGCTATATTGAGCAGTGAAGTCATGGTCAATTATACAAAAAACTATTGGAACAAATAAACTTTGAAAAAGAAACTAGTGATTAAGATGCATATGATATGCACCGGCAATGAAAATGTGCATGCACTAACAACAAAGATGCACATGTTCTTAAGCACACGTACATGTGAATGACTTTGTATCCTCACCATTGGTAGCAACACAATATTGAGCAGTTAGAGTTGTTATATACAGAATTGGGTCTGCTTGAGACCAGGAATTTGGTTGTTTCATTCTCACAATTTCAGTATTTTTTCTCATAATCTGTAGTATTGATGCCTGGTAACATAGTTGCTGCAATTTGTAAGACAGAAGGCATCTAAAGAATACTTAACAAAATAAAGGACAGAAATCACTGACTGCAAGGTTGTAGCATGACAAAATAAACCAAAGCAATTAGGGTTAAAACACAGTTTCTAGCAAAAACCAAACATAGTAATGAGTTTTTTTACTGAAAATGAAAAATTTGGCTGAAGCTACCCAAGAATTGGACAAAAATGCCAGGAAATTTAGCAAATTTCTATTCATATGGTTCTTTTCTAATTTCTTCAGTAAAAGTTAAAAATGCCAAAAAATTTGGCAAATTTCTATTCATATGGTTCTTTCCTAATTTCTTCAGTAAAAGTTAAAAATTGCCTAATTTTCAACTCCTATTTTTTTTAAATATCACCAGTGAAGCAATAGTTTATACCTGTGATTCTATGAAAGTTCTGCTTGATATTTCAGATTGGCTTTTTATTGTAGTTAGTTTTTTTAAACCACAGAACACTTAATAAATGTATTAATAAATGTATGGGACCATTTCTATGAAGTTTGCAATTTAAAACATGAATCATTCTATTTATACAACATCAAGTATCCACATTCAAGTTAGAAATTGAGTAAGAAATTATTTATTTAAAAAAATATTAGCATACATTTATAGTATTATGCTATCCATCATTCCTGGAAAAGTTAAATTTAGCACAAAAATTCAATTGAGTTAGTTCTGCAGTTGATAGTCATCGACTTAACTTAAATAATTTGTCTTGAAGCAAGGCCTTGTACAAAAATTTTTATGATTTTTAGAGCCATGCTACCATATATTTGCATTTGATGTGGACTGTGATGCAGCTTGTTTTTCCCTTTTCATTACCTACTTGTCATTCTCACTGAGCATGTTTTGGCTTACTCTGTTGCCATGTAGTAAGTGTCCTGATAATTAAATTCCTATGGCTTTTCACTAGATCATTCCACTAGTCTCAAGTCAATAAGTTTAAAGAATGCAGTTGTTGTATGAAGTTGTTGGAGACATGACTTTACAAGGAAATGAAGTAATTTGTTCTTATCATTATGTGCTTTCCTTTGTATTACAGGTTTTTTTTCTTTATTTTTCTTTCTTTTTGTTAAAAATCCAAAACCTCTCATTTTGAGATAGATTAATTCAATTTATCAAGGTCACCATTAGAATAAGAGATTATAGTCATACTTTATCCTCTTTGTAATAAATTACAATTTCTAAAAACTAATCATGCATTGTGGAAGATTATTAGTTAAGACATTGAAGGCTCAAGTGATTGGACAAAATGCTATATATTGGAGAAATTCAAAGGCAACTTTGCACCAGCTTGCTGCAAATGGAACATTTGGGGACACTGTGTTGCCCAGTTCTTCTTATCAAGGTAACTCATTCTAATTTTGCTGACTGTGTCTTTTTGAAATTTGGCTGTAGTTATTCATAATTGAACATATTAATGATGTGAGAGTAAAATTAGAAGACTCTTAATGCCATCAAGTTTTACTCAATTAATGTAGAAATGTTCAAATTATATCTTTCCTTAAATGAAAGCCTAATACTCGTGTGTTCTACAAATTTGTGAATAGAATTTCTATTATGTTGCTTCTCTGTGACACCAGCCTAGTTACAATCAATAGTATTGAACTTCTATTTTATTGCAACTTAGCAGTGGTCATTTCAAATTTTTGTATTCTTCAATAGAAACATTTGATTTATTTAATTTTGTTTAATGTATTGTTTGACGTAGTAGTATTTATTTTACAACTAAATCTGAATCACTCCTAGTGCCAGAAGACATTATGGCAGCTCGAGCTAGACACAGCAATGAGTACAGCTTGGTTGATGCTTATCGCAAGTATGGCCACCTCAAGGCTGATGTGAATCCTGTCTATGCCAACAAGCAAGTGTAAGTGTTATTAATAATTATTCAAGTTACTACAGGGTTCAAGTCTTCCTTACATGTTAATAACTAACATTTTCTGTTTGTAAATAATATATTAATTATTGTTTGTTTGTAAATCTGTTGATAAGTGTTGTGTCATATAAATCTATTTATTAAGAAGCTCCTGTTAATCTCCTTCTAGAAAGGATATTCTTCTATGTATGTACTCTTTCCCAAGAAAAATTATAGTTGCTACCAAGTTTTGCAAAAATTTTATGATCCTCTCATTCTGATCACTCTGTAATATTGTATTACTCTAAGAAATATGAGAGTTTACCTTCACAAGAAATTTTTGGCGAGTAGTTTAAATGCAGCAATTGTTTTCAAAAACTTGAATGTCATTGTACCCAGTCTTACAATTTCAATCAAGACATCTGTATTCTATGTCTTAGCAAAGTTATTATTCATTTCAGGGTGCCAGAGCTGGAGCCAACCCAATATGGAGTTAGTCCCAGTCTGGACCCCAGTGCTGGTTCTGTTCTGTATAGTCAAGAGAATTATGCCTCACTAGACCAGCTCACCAATTCCCTGAAGCAGCTCTACTGTGGTCCTGTAGGGATAGAGTTTATGCACCTGCCAGTAAGTATTCAAAAAATTTCAGTGTTTGACTGCCCAATCATCCAAAGTTGGTCAAAAACACTTCTCATACTTTGAACAATTAGTAACTATAGTAAGATTTCACCACGATCTCCCAGGCTAGTCTGCTAAGATACCTATATTTTTGGAGACTGTATTAATGCTAAATAATTATCAGCAGGTAGTTGAGGTACAAAATGTTTGAAAACATATCCTATATTGCTTGTATGATAAAAAAGGACCTTCCTTAAGATTAAAGCAAGGCTCTATACCCATGCTGATAAATGGTGATGAAAATTGTGTTCAAAAAGTTCCATTTGTAGCAAAACTTAGTCACAGCATTAAACCTCCTAAATAGTGGATTTTTTGCTTGATTTTGATCCTATTGTCTGCTGTCAGATATGTACTCAATAAGCCTATAGAAAGTAGAGACACCTCAGTTCTAATTTTTGTAAGGTTAAATTCAAACCCATTTTGTTAGACTGCAGCTGAGCGGGAATGGTTTGCTAGAGAGATCGAGTCGGGTACTCTCTTGGAGCCATTCACTGATGATGAGAAAATACAGTGAGTCAGTCAAGCTTGATAACAAATAATTCAATTTTTCAAATAGTCATTAGAAAATACTATTACTCAAGACAGTAATGGACATTCTTGAAGTGTCTGATGTTTTGGATGCAAGTAAATAACATAATTATGCTACTTCCTTCAGAATTAATGAGGAAAATAGGTTTGCTTTTTTTTTTATTTAGTAAAGTTACTTAAGTTCATTTTCTTAATTTTTGTTTGTAGGAAATATTTCTGGCTACTTAATTAGTTGTTTGTCTTTAGTGTCTCTTATTTTCAATATTTTGTTTGTTTATGCTTACTTCATTCACTCAGGCTACTCATGATGTTTAGTACTTTTCTCTAATTTAAAATAAGCCTGACATTTTTTCATTACAGTTTGCAGAGCTGTAAATATTTTTCTCTTCTATTGTTATCATATCCTTTTTCATTTTGTTTGTCATTCTAATTATGCTAGGTTTGACTAGCGTATGAACTCAACTACCATTAACAATGTACAAACTTGACCACTATTAACAACATTTGCAGTATGTTGAAGCTGCTGCTCAAGTCGAAGTGCCTTGACGTCTTCCTCTCCAGCAAGTTTCCCAGCGTCAAACGCTACTCTGGTGAAGGCGCTGAAGCTCTCATGTGCTTTTACTTCTACACATTTGGGACTCTTGCTCAGAGTGAGACTAGGATATTGTTTATTGTTGTGATAAAATGATTGTCTTTCTAATATTTTAATACATTTTATATTTTTTTTTTCTAATATCTTGACAAAAATCTGTCTTTTTATGTATGCACTTTACTGTGGACAAACCAATAAAAATTTAATTATTTCTGTAAATTTTTTTATTGAGATGGTTTACATTCAATAATTCAGCTCACATGCTTTGCTGGTTCCATAAATTCCATTCTAAAAAGTTTATTATTGTTTGTTGTATGTGAGTTAATTTTTCATAGTCCTGATATCTGAATAGATTGCCTTCTATGCTACAGCAGTGAAATCTTTTGTTCAAATAGCAGAATTTATAGATGAACTTTACAAGTGGGTTTTTTTGCACTCAGGGCTTAGCTCATGACTGAAGTGATGTGCAGGTGGTGTGCCTGGACTCATGACTGCAGTGATGTGCAGGTGGTGTGCCTGGACTCATGACTGAAGTGATGTGCAGGTGGTGTGCCCCACGTGGCAGTGGGCATGGCTCACCGAGGTCGTCTGAACCTCCTGACGGGGCTGCTGGAGCTGCCACTGGCCGCCCTCTTCTCCAAGATGCTGGGCAGGGCCGAGTTCAGCGAAGAGTTCCTCTTCACCGGCGACACTCTCATGCACATGAGTCTGTTCTCGATGTTCTCTTGCAACAGAAGAATATTGTTTTCTTCACATTTTTCATGGCAAAGACTTTAAATTTTAGTCTTTCAATTTACTTATCTTCAATGGCCTATTATTATTTGACTTCTGCATTTGAATCAATTTCCATCGGTTCGTTATATACATATTCATGAAATATGGAAAATCAGTATAAAAGATAATGTCATTCGTGTATGATAGAAAAATTTTATTACAATTTGTGCTTGATAGTATCTTCAAGAGGGAAGAAGCAACAATTGCCATAACATAACATAGTGTGATGTCGACGCTAAAGAGTATACCTGATGTGGCCTGTCGCCGATTCTTGATGTTTCGTGACTTGTTCACAGAAGATCTAAAATCGTGAATGCCCATGCCCTGACACACCTTTCCGTCATTGCAGCCTCAGCTGCCGAGATGCTCTTCACCGACGGGTCGCGCACTCTGGTTGAAATGCTTGCTAACCCATCCCACCTGGAGGCCGTGAACCCCGTGGCTCTAGGCTACACCCGCGCCTTGCACCGCAGGCGGGGCGTGGGCCAGTACACTGCACCACCTCGGTGCAGTGCAACCTCCTGTGAGACTGTCCTTTCTGGTGCACCGTCGTCCTCCGCCCCTGTCGCACTACTGGTCATTGACGGATTTGCAATACATACTTCGAATATATGCGCTATTTGTGTCAGTTAAAGTTTGGAGTGTCAGAAAATTCTACAGACAATTAGATTCATGGATGCCTAATAGCCAGAATAGTTAGGAGTTTTTAACTCCGTAACACCAAATCACTGACGGTTTTTAAAGCTTAACCCACCAATCACTGAAGAGAAATCAGACGCTAAGTATACTAAAAGTGAGTTTCGATGATACGGTCCCAAGTAAAAAATTATGTGTGTGCAGGTGCACGGAGACGCCGCCCTGCGGGGACAGGGTGTGCTGCAGGAGACGCTCATGATGACGTCTGTGCCGCACTTCAGTGTTGGCGGCGCACTGCATGTTGTTGTCAACAACCAGGTTAGTTTAATTGTTCTTTGCTCGTTGAAGCTAAATGCATTATCCATCTATATTATTAATATGTGAATTGTAGTTTTCATCACTCATCACCATCGTTTCAATAACGAGGTTGAATGTTCATGTAAAATGTGTAAAAACGGTAATCTGCGTTATATTTCTTCATTTATTTAGTGCCTTGTGTTAAATTTCTCGTTTCCTAACTCCCATGGAGAATTGGTTTTTATTTTTGAAAAAATTTATCCCCAACTGTGATGTTGTGTGTTGCGTTCCTAGTCTCACGACTTCTGTGAACCGAATTTTGTTGGCAGTAGTTTCTACTGTGGGGATAATTTGTTGATGTGGGATAATTTGTCTTTTGTAGGTTTTGTGCTTCATCGTCAAAGTTTTGTTGAAGCAACCTCATATTTTAGTGTCATCGATTCTTCAGCTGCTTAAATGTGTATTATTTTTGTTTTATGTTTCTTTAAAGTGCTAACTCTGCTTCTTGCTTTTGCGACCAGCTATTTTAGACCCTCCTTCACTCGTGGGTGTTATAGGTAGATTCTAGTATCGCTCCAAGCTATATTGCTTGATTATTTCTTTCCTCTGTGATACTATTTTTCAATTATAATTCTGATGGAATTTCAGATTGGCTTCACTACAGAAGCGGCAGGACGAGCTAGCGACGTCGCGCTGGTGTCGCGAGTGCCCATTATTTCTGTGAACGGCGAGCAGCCTGAGGTCGGCCTTTCTAATATTACGCCTTGCATGCTAATTCATGGCATTGAACTTGAAGTGAAATAGATCATGAATGCAGTATTTATTCATTATTTAGAATATTTACTTAATGACGTATACGTATATGCCGTATGTGAGAAAATACTTACTGACAGTGACTTAGGTGCATGTCTGGCAATCGGCTTGATAATTATTGCTTGACTTATAACTGTATTTAGCTCAAAATACCATCAGAGACTAGTACCCGAATGAGCACTGAAAGAACCGTGTAGTTCGTTCCTCGACGTTCTTGTTTACAATGTTGAGTACCTTCAGGCAGTGGCACGGGCCGCGCGTCTGGCAGTGCTGTACCAGCAGCGGTTTGGGAGGGACGTGTTCGTGGACGTGCTGTGCTGGCGCCACCACGGCCACAACGAGCTCGACAACCCTCGCCTCACCAACCCGCGCATGTACAACATCGTCGACGCTAAAACGTTCGTCGTCATAACGTGCTTAACGTTGCTATGATTTCTGTCTCAATAAGATGATTTATTACAGGGTTTTAGAGAAACCTTGATATCAAATTGACTAATTACCCTCTGGATATTTTTTTAAATTCTCGACATTCCTCGTGGATTGGTAGTAATGTTCACAAGGTAGGCAAACATTCTTTAGTTAAGTTGCTCAAGTTTCTAGTAATTATAATTAACTTTGAGCCGCGACAATTTGAATTGCCCGCCAATGATTACTGCAAAGCTGGTAGTTCTGCAGGCTTGGTTCAACATCGGTTGCGACGCGTTCATGAAGTGCATGTGCTTCGCTCACATTCATCACACACTTGAATAATTTTTCAAACGTTTTACTTGATTGTGTAAATTTTTAATATACATTGCAATATTCATGAATGATACTCTCTCTGTACTTTGCTGGAGTGAAGGGCATTTTTTACATAACAATACCGTGTTTACAATATTGCAGCGTTCAGAAACCTATTTCACTATTGTGATAAAAAAAAACAATTGCTATTATCATTATTGATAGTTAATATGAACGTGCAGCAATTCAATATTATGTACTTCTGGCCTGGTAACATCATTATAGCAGGGTTTTTTTCAGAAATATTACGAAGAGACCAATATCCCTGAACCTTATTGAAAACTATCCACGTTCCCGGCGGACTGATAATAAGGTGTAGAGCGCAAATCTGGCATTGCATCACAATTGTTTGCACAGGCCGATCCCAGAGCAGTACGCGGCGGCGCTGGTGCAGCAGCAGGTCATCACTGAGGCTCAGGTCACCGAGTACACCCGCGACGTCACCGAAGAGATGACGCGATGCTATGAGAAGGCTCAGTCATATAGGTGCGACTCGTATACCTTCATACTTCCCGTATAAAAATTTACGTCAATAATTAAAAAATTACGTTACTGTTTATAAGTATCAATGTATGATTAGGCTCAGTGGTGTAGATGCGACTCCCATATATTGATACTTCCCTTTTAAATATTTACGTAACTACTTAATAGATTTAGTTGATGTTTGGTTTGTTTCCCCTAATTTCATCCTTGTGTCCGTCCGACAATAGATGTTGAGGTCTACAATATAGTATCCTCAACATCTCTTGTCTTCAAAAGATGTTCAGTCATCTCATCTTCATCATCTTGAGTAATTTGTCTAAAATTTAGTATCCAGATAATTTTAAATAATTTTATTTTTTTCTGCTATTTTATTTTTATCTGCCATTTTATTTTGATCTACTATTTAATTTTGATCTACTATTCAATTTTGATCTACTATTCAATTTTGATCTACTATTCAATTATTATGATCTACCCGGGGGTTTATTAAGAGTTAACGATTTGTTGGAAATATTTCTCTCTTCAAACCAGTCCACCTGCCAGCATCATCCACTCGCGATGGGACGGCTTAACCCAAAGTCCACAATCTTGTGTCGAGGTCTGGGACACGGGCGTGCCTACAGACACTCTCAAGTTCGTGGCGGCCAAGAGTGTGGAGATTCCTCCTGCTTTTGTGAGTGGAGTTCCGGCAATGCCAGCATGTTCAGTAGGCATGTCTCAGAGGATTAGGTTGTAATTTGTCATCATATCAACGATTTTGTTTAAGAAAAGCATTTGTCGTGAGGTATGGATTTCCCTCATGACTCTGAAAATTTTTTTCAGTAAAGCATTTCAATAATTATGATCGTAAAAATGTATTCTTTATGCTATCTGATTTCAAAGGCCCTACTTCAGTTTCAACTCTTCTTTGGGAGGTATGCAGGGTTTTGGTTATAATTGCATACAGCATTTCTGATGGATGTAATTTTAATGAAATTGGCGTTTAGCAAGATATTTGGAGATAAAAAATATTCCCTAGCAGCAATTTTAAAGCGTTTATTTCACGCCTCGTAGAATGTACATCCGCACCTCCTGAGGACGCACGTCGCAGGACGACTAAAGCGACTCAACGACTCAGCTGCCGCATTGGACTGGGCTACTGCAGAAGCCATGGCTCTCGGCTCTATCCTGCTTCAAGGTTACTTTTTATACTACAAGCAATCCTGTTTATTTTCATAAATTCATTTTCAAAATTGTTACAGCTTTTTTATCTATTTTCTATTAGTATTTTTAAATGGGCAGACTTCTGTGATCACAAAAACTAACTGTGATGTGATTAGAATCTTAATTTAGTTTTAATTACTTCTTCTGTTGTTGAGCTAATTTTTTTAACTTCTAAGGATACCTGGCTTCAAGGTCAATATTATTTTATAATGAAAGTTATGCTGGGCAGGCGTTGGCGTCCGACTCTCAGGCCAGGACGTGGGGCGTGGTACGTTCGCTCACCGCAACTGTCAGCTCGTGGACCAGACAACAGAGGCGCGCTACGAGCCCCTCAACCACCTCACTGACGACCAGACCGCCTACCTGGAGGTGGCCAACAGCATCCTCTCCGGTGCGCCGACTTTGCCATGCCTGTACACATTTGTTGACGCTTAAACCTATTCATTAAATGAATGTTTCTATCTTTTTATCATTCAGAATCAATAGGAATCTTTATATTCAATAGAATATAAGGAATATCCTAGCTAATATAATTTTTTCACCGTATTTTCATTGTAATTTGTAGTTCATTCTTCTGGCCCAAGAGAAGTTTACATTCAATATTAATCACAGTCTTGCTATGAAAATTGGTGCCTGTGGTGGGTAAAGAAAATATTTTTGCGCATCCAAAAATGCGTGCCGTATTATTTATGACAATAGCCTCATCAAAATAAATCACGACCACGGGTACCTGCCAGGAAATGTTGTCCTAACAAATGTTTTTGTTGTCAGAGGAGGCGGTGCTTGGTTTCGAGTACGGCATGTCAATCAACAACAAAGACGTCCTGCATCTGTGGGAGGCTCAGTTCGGAGACTTCTTCAATGGCGCTCAAACTGTCATCGATGCCTTTATTTCTTCTGGCGAAAGTAAGTGCTTATATTTCCTGTGGCGAGAGTGAGTGCTTTTGTTTCCTTTGGCGAGAGTCAAGAGTGAGTACTTTTGTTTCTTCTGGCGAGAGTCAAGAGTGAGTGCTTTTGTTTCTTCTGGCGAGAGTCAAGAGTGAGTGCTTTTGTTTCCTCTGGCGAGAGTCAAGAGTGAGTGCTTTTGTTTCCTTTGGCGAGAGTCAGAGTGAGTGCTTTTGTTTCTTCTGGCGAGAGTCAAGAGTGAGTGCTTTTGTTTCCTCTGGCGAGAGTCAAGAGCGAGTGCCTTTATATCCTGTGGCGAGAGTGAGTGGTTTTATTTATTTATTATAGGAGCTTTTGTACAAGTGAGGGAAGTCGTGAAAGATTTTTCCTTAAATTCAAACATATATACGGTACTTCTGATGATGAACTGACTTCTTTTATCTTTTGTTTCTACTCTGCACAAATGAATGGAGACCAAAGCTAGTTGTATTCATCACATGGCATGAGTTTTTCAAACGTTTTTTCTACTGGGAAGATAGGTTGTCTTCATGATATTTGAAAACAATTGCGTTAGAAATGTCTAAGTTGAGTTGCACCTTTTTTCCTGATTCAAATATCCATAATATTTTCCAGCCAAAATTCGCTCGCTATCAATAGTGTCATGTAATTATATATCTTGCAGGCAAGTGGCTGTACCAGAGCGGCCTGGTGCTGATGTTGCCGCACGGATTTGATGGCGCTGGCCCTGAGCACTCCAGCTGCCGCATCGAGCGCTTTCTCACGGACAGCCAAAGCGCTGAACACATCGCTGACTCCAGCGGCACGAACTGGACCGTAGCAACCCCGACTACACCTGCGCAGTACTTCCACTTGCTGCGTCAACAGGTCTGTAGTGCACCTGGTACAGCAACAGGTCAGTAGTTCCACCTACTGCATCAACAGGTCAGTAGTTCCACCTCCTGCATCAACAGGTCAGTAGTAGCACCTGCTGCGTCAACAGGTCAGTTGAAGCACCTGCTACAGAAACAGGTCCATATTTCGTTTTGCTACTTCTTCATTTATCAGCACATTTCTGTCAATGTGGTTAGATAAATCCGAGTACCTATTAATATTTCATATATTATACGAATTATCATGATAGTATAATAATTGTATTGATATAGTGAAATATTTGCAAGCAATAATGAGTTTGATTGTTTATGTTGTGCAGATAGTGCGACCGTACCGCAAGCCGCTCATTATAGTGGCACCCAAGACGATGCTGCGGATGCCTGCTGCAACGTCCCACATCTCGCACATGGCGCCTGGCACTCACTTCCTCCCTGTTATTGGTGCTTAATTTTCTGCTCACTACAAGTTTATTAGCAATGCTTATTATGAATTTCTATACCATACGACCTTTCCTCCATGATTTTTTCTATGAATTATCCTGCACTGCAGATTGCTGGTCAAAATTATGTTAAGTCCGTTTAAGTTGATAGCCAATTTCTTGTCCCATAGTCTACTAACAAGTGCCTTCCTCCTAAAACTATTTTATCCAAATTCTGAAGTGTTATATCTATCTCTAGTACTTTCGATATATACATTAGGGAGAAAAGTTTAATGAATAATCAGTAATTTATAATAAAATACTTAAAAAAAAACTTTTTAAAAAAGCACGTTTTTCTTGTGGACTAAAAAGTAGAAAATAAATTATGGCTTGCCCCAAAAAATGTGTCGGGCAGATTTATGATTAAAGCGAAAAGCACACAACACACGAATTTTGGAAATTTGACGGTGAACGTACAGCCCGACCCACGTTTTTTTGGGCGAGCCATAATTTATTTTCTACTTTTTAGTCCACAAGGAAAACGTGTTTTTTTTTAGTTTTTTTTTTTTTAATATTTTATTTTCTCCTTTTTAGTCCACAAGAAAAACGTGTTTTTTCAAGTTTTTTTTAAGCATTTTATTTTCTCCTTTTTAGTCCGTTGCTACACATGAAAAACGTTGTTGCGAGCCAATTTACTTGACTTGACGTACTTATCGATGATGCGCAGCGTCAGCGCCTGCTCGTCTATAACGCCAGCGCCCGCACTTCATACTATATATATATATATATATAATTTACTCAATTAAGCTACTTTAGGTCTCTAATGGCTAGTTTTTATGATTGTATCTGAAATTGTTAGGCGAAAATAGCCTGCATGCCGAATTTCAGATCTCTAGAGCAATCAGAAGTGGGCAAATTTTCGTTGTCAATGTTAACAAAAAACAAACAAACGCTAAGCTGAGTAAAGAAAAACGTGTTAAAATTCAGTTTAATAATAGCACTTGAAATTTGTTTGTATACAAGCTTGTCAAGTGGCATCTATGTATGCTCGGCGTCAAAAAGTAATGCTAATAATTATATGTTTCATGCTGAAGTCCTATTTACATTTGTCGTTATAGTTAGGTACCTCATATTTGTCTCCATGCCCGAACGAAATTGTCCAATGTTACCAATGATTGTATAGGTATTTTATTTAAATTTGAGTTCAGACCAAATTATATGTTAAAATACTTATAATTGTAACATTTACTTTAATGTCTCTAGGACGATAGCATCGTATGTTAAGTCAAATAATTTGATATTGGTGTATTTCTCTGCGCGCCCAGACGAAATAGAGTAGCAATCATAATACAATTATTAGCTCACTTAATGTTTCTTATGCGTGTACAGACGACGCGAGCGTGCGTGAGAGCGACGGCGTGCGGCGCGTGGTGTTCGTGAGCGGCAAGCACTTCTACGCGCTGGCCGACGAACGTGCCAAGAGGGGTATCAGTGATACGGCCCTGGTCAGGGTGGAGTCCTTGTGTCCCTTCCCCGCCCACGAGCTGCACCACGTCCTCAAGAAGTACAGCAAGGCCAAGAGTTAGTAGTACAGTGCTGCTGGTGTGTACAACAAGACCAAGAGTTAGTAGTACAGAGCTGCTGTTGTGTACAGCAAGACCAAGAGTTAGTAGTACAGAGCTGCTGTTGTGTACAGCAAGACCAAGAGTTAGTAGTACAGTGCTGCTGCTGTGTACAGCAAGGCCAAGAGTTAGTAGTACAGTGCTGCTGCTGTGTACAGCAAGGCCAAGAGTTAGTAGTACAGTGCTGCTGGTGTGTACAGCAAACCAAGAGTTAGTAGTACAGTGCTGCTGGTGTGGCTCGTATAGTAAAACTTATTTTCGAGGCGGATCTTGTACAATTGATTGGAGTACAAAAGTCCAACGAAAAAAATTTAGTTCCAACTCATGAATTTTGTGCTGATATTTGATGATATCAATCTAAGCCTTAATAATTATTGAAAGTGTTCAAAAGCTTGACGGAAGTTCAGTATTCGTCTCACATGCTGAAATAGCTCAGTTTTTTTAATTTCTGCTTTGAAATGAAATAACATTGTGAAATTCAGAAAAGTTTTACGCAGTCAATTATTTTCTGTCACTTAACTAAAAGAAGGATCTTATTATAGCCTTTGATTTTACGAACTAGTGTGAGTGAGAAGCTTCTCAATTATGAAGTAATCATAGAATTGATGATAGTAGTAGTTGCAAATATGTATTATTATTAAGCAGCTGTTCCATTTTTCTTGAACCTAATACTGAACGAAATTTGCACTCCCAACGATACACATTGTTCATAAGCTATGACTGTATTATCTTCAACTTCGTGCATAGTAGAAGAACAATGCAAGTAAATAATGTGGTCACCAAATTATTGTACCAATTAAAGAGTATTGTTTTAATCCCCAGAGCTTGTGTGGGCGCAGGAAGAGCCTCGAAACATGGGGGCTTGGCCGTTCGTCTTCCCCAGATTCCTGAACATCTGTGGCGCCAAGGTAAGCTTTTATTGATGCTCTCCTCAGCACAGACTTTTCTCGCTCAGTAGCACGAATTTAATCTAATCTAAAGTACTAAAATTAAAAGATAATCATTTTTGCAATGTACCTATATATGTTACAGCATTACCATTAAACTCTAGTTTTGAAATTTGAAGCGAATTAAAATTTGTTATTTTTGAATGAAATTTGATGTCAGTTGTTTTTTATCCTCTTGTCATCTCGAACTCCGTAGTCCTGAACCCCGTCACCCTGAATCCATAAGATAATTTCGAAGATAAAGTATGATACTGCTAGGAAAACCGTACAAACCTTCGTACAGCGCGGAACTCCCTCTGAACTCGCGTTTAGAAATTTTTCGGGAACTTTTTATCAACTTTCTATTTAGGAATAAAATTTACCCTTGCCTTGTTAAAACGAATTTTTTTTCTACATGATTCTCTCATTTATTTTTCAATGCTCATTATTTTTCCATTGCAAATATAATTTAGATCTAAGTTAATATCCCTACTTGGATATGCTTTCGATCAGGCTTTAAAATGTACGTACTTTGCCCATTTTATATAATGAGTTTGAGTTTTTGAATGTTTTTGTATTTCTACTTGAGGAGTATGACGCTGTAAATATACATGGACGGCAAATTTAAGGGCGATTTGTGCCGCAGGTGTCGTACGCAGGACGCGAGCCGCTGTGCACCCCCGCCGTAGGCGTCACAGAGCGCCACCGGCAAGAGGCTTCACACATCCTTGACCTCGTCTTCGCCTGAGGCTTGTGTAGCCCTGACTGTTCGCCTTGCGACTACTCTTTGCAGTCTTCCTACTGATTACCTTTCGTAGTCCACCTTTGAAATGTTTTTAGCAGTCCTCCTTCCGGCTGCCCTCGACATTCCGCCATTCCATTGCCTCTGACATTCCGCCATTAAGGCCCGTTCACACTAGGGGCAACACACGGGCGTCAAGCGCCTCACCGCCCCTCTAAGTGCGCTTCTTGTGGGCAACGAAGCGATTGACGAGCTAGTGATTTAGTCGCCCTGCCTCCTGCAACACAAGCGCGCGCCGTACTCAGTCTGTATACGCTGGTCCTTCACTATGGCAACTAACGCCACACTTGTTTGGACTCACTCACTAGTAGAGAGGCTAATTGATCTTTGTAGAGACCATGAATGCCTGTAGAGAGTTCAGTCAAAGGAGTATAAAACTCGAAATGCGAATGGACAAGCTCTGGTGAAAATATTTGAAGTTTTAAGAAACTTTCGTGTACAAGTCACCATTGACGAGGTTCGGTAGAAAATTCATACATTGCGTTCGCAATTCCATCGTGAAATGAATTTCATTGCAAATGAATTACGTTGCATATGAATTCCTTCTCAATTCCATCATCCTGCCTCTGGATGAGTGGCATTATTCTCTTTAGCAGACTGTCTAACAAGTCCACTGGCAGTCTAGTATAATTTTGAAAATCTGATGCATCCGCAACTGATAATTCTTTGTAAATGTAATTGTATAAGCTTTTCTTTGCAACCATTTTTTCACCCAAATACGGCGACGCCTACAACTTTTTTCTTAACAGCAGCACACCCGAGAACAATGGCCCAGAGCTCAGATTCGGATACATCCATCCTCATTGACGTTTAACTGGCATCTAATCTTCAAAGCGCGCGGTCTCGAGCTACCGCGTACAAAAATAAGTGTGAACGGTTGTGGGCGGTGAGGCGCTGCACCAAGCGCCTCACCGCCCATATCATTGCCCCTAGTGTAAACGGGCCTATAGACTGCTCATGAAACTCCTCCATTTGATTTTCCTTGTCATTCCGCCATCCGATTACCCTTAAAATCCCTTCATCAATGATGTTCCAGCATCCAATTTGCCTGACATTTCACCACCCAATTGTCTTCAACAAGCCATAGTCCGACTATGCCAATCTACCGCCAACTACTGTTTGTGAAACATATAAGATGTGATTATATTTTTGCACTCACATCCCTGCTCGACAAATTAGAACTCGTTGGGTTTTAAATTAATCGTTTATATCACATGATAAAATTCAGACGACGAGAGTATTACCTCCAGTGAAAAATATACTGTCACTACTTCTCAAAAACTCTGGGAGCAAGTTGCTTGGGGCAGCTTATCTCCCTTCTATCATGCCTGCACATCATGCCTTATGACTTTTATCAAACTCTAATGAAACTCTAATCTTGAGTGATTGCTAAAGCCTCACAATGTTACTCTGCCACACCAGTGAACGATACGTTTAAGAACCCATTGTATGTTCAGATTATTCATATAATTAAGGCCTATAGTGCATAATTTATTACAATTTTTATTTAGTCTTTAGATGTCTTGTATGCGTGCAATTGTTTCATTTCTTTCTGGGGAAATCAACAAACTTAATTGTTACATCGTATTTTTCATATTTTAATCTATTTTCATGCATTAGTTTTAAAGAGGTTTTGAAATGGCTCTTAAAGCCTTGGTTATAATTTTGAAATAAAAGTTTTATTTATCCGTTATTTTTATTAGCACTAACACGACGGACATCAATGTTACTAATTGAAATTAAATATAAGCCATTTTTTGGTCGCACAAAATACTGCCTTTGTGCCTCTTGAATCTCATGTTATTTATAAGCGTTTTGCTGGCCCATGACTTCAGTTTCTGAAACGTTGTCGCCAAATTTGCTTGCTCTCTTGATTTGGGTTTTTGGTTTTCATGTTTGAATTCTCTTTTCACTGTTACAGGTTAGAAGTAACAGTTCTTCCTTACCTGTTATTTATAATGTTTTAATTGACTACTACGTTCTACCTCTATGAATGTTTCCTCTGTTATATCTTACAGAGGAATATTAGGATTTGTTTAGGGTTTTTAAGGAAAACCTCGTGCCTTATCTTACATGTAACAAACGACGTCGTATAAGTACCGTTGCAGGACCTCATTCAATTTCCATAATCCTGTGATACTGTATATGATTAGGTGCCAAATTTTTATCAGTGTTGCGGCCTGTAAAAATAAAAACCTGTAAAATAAAAAATTGTACAATACAACTTCAGAATCTGTTTCTTGTAACAATTTGCAGGAATTATAATGACAACTTTACGCAATACAGCAATACGATTATGTTAATTACATAGTGGCTGTTATGTTGATCCGAGCTACTATTGCAACAGTATTAATCTTGTATGTCGTAAATTTTACTGAAATTGGTGCTACGTCTCAGATAATTTTTGGAGCAGCTTGAGAAGAACAATTCGCAGCATGCTAATAAATAAGGTAGCTTAATATAGTTTATAGGTAGCTATGTAGTAGTTCAAAGTCTTTCGTTGCTCCAGGTGCTTCATTTATCCTCTGAGTGGCAGCTTATGTGCTTCTTTCTACTGAAATATATTAGTACCGCTTATAATTTTTCTTTGAAATAGAGATGGTATGAAATTGATAAGATAACAACGTACACATAATATTGCTATGTAGACATGATATTGCTACGACATAATCGACATAGTGCTTCGTTTGGACGAACGTTTCGTTTCCATTAGATAGTAGTGAGCTGTCGCAAACAAAGCTCATTGTTGCGTCACTTTTCGTTTAATTATGTCGCTTATGTCTGCTAACGCCTAACTACTATTGTTAATATCAAACATTATTTTGACGCTATTCAAAGCATTGTTGTATTTGACAGCGGCAATGAAACTTCCATTGAAATAACATTCTTCCCAGTACATTGATTGTTAGCAATCAGTTTGTTATTTTAAAATTCTACATGTTGTTATAATGAACTAATAAGTAATTATTGTTAATATATTTTCAATTAAACTTCATACTGCTTTATGTGCGTTTCCTTCAACATTATGAAAAGATATAACCTATAGTCTGCTGTGTACATTTTTTGCTTTTAGATAAATTGCATTACTAAACTATTGCCAAACTAAAACCTATGTTTAGTATACTTGAATTCCATTAATCTTATTATATTCATTTCGATTTCAATTCCGCAGGGAAGTCTTGGCGGAACCCGCAAATTTTCTTTATATCTACAGACGGTAGCCTTTTTTATCGGTCTACTCATAACGAAGATGATTTTAACATGTCACAATCAGAGCAGATTTGAGGAGTAGTTATTTTACTCTGAAGTTGACCCGTTCCCAAGCAGGATCTGGAAAAATTCTTTCTCAGACAATTTACATTTGCAAGGGTTCTGCGCAGAGCAGACTTGGGGCTTGACAAACCTCCGGTTCCCGTGTCGAATGAGCGAATGCATCCATCGATTTTGAATAATTTAGACCTTCCGTCTTGCTGGCGATGTTATATTTTGACCTTCGGTGCGAAATAGCTTGATAGCTGAAGCGCTAGCAAACCATTATACTACTACTACTACCCCATCGGATGATGAGGGGTTGATCAACTGTAGGATGTTGATCGGCTTTTGAATTATCTTTGGAGAATTTTATGAACATGTTCGTGTTGGACATAGTCATGTTGAACATATTCATATCAGGTCTAGACGCAACTTATACAAATCTCAGGACGCAAAAATTGATTGGTAATTAGATGTTAACACAAACTGGATTTCGCTGACCTTTGAGCGGAAGTCGGTCGTTTTGAGAAAAATATAATTATAAGTATAAAATTTACCTAATTACCAGATTAAATCTTAATAATATACAAAATTCATCATGTTCAACGGTGAATTTTAATATATTCCATGCTTGCAGTAAGAACGTCAGTCATTTGTCAAATATCTGTATATGGTTGATTGACACGGGTGTATTTTCCTAGAATCTTGCATCTAATTCTCCACCTACGACCATGCCACAGCCAGTTGAAGTGCACATCAATAACTACTAGTATATTATTTGTACAGGTATTTCACTTTCAAATGTAGTGATTAATTACGAGACACGATTTTAATTTCCACCTTAAAGAATAAATTGAGATCTGAAAGCAGTACTCGTGTGCCCCAAAGCCGCTGAAATTTGAACTTCGTGACAGAAGCTGCACGACGTTAATTAAGTTCAGGATCAATTGCTATGGGGCAGTGGGGCCGCCGCGCCATGGCCGGCATGCAGCAGATGTGGCACGCGTACCCGGTCACCAGGGGCATGACCACCTACGCGTTGCTGTGGCCGACCTCAAACATGGTCCAGCAGGGCCTGGACCCCGGCAGACAGCGCTACGATCCCTTGCAGGGCCTCAGGTCATTCGAGCATCTTGGGGCCGTGATATTAATAATAATTAACTTCTTAACTCCGTCAGCCGATCACTGATGCCTTGATAAAATAAACCCACATATTACAGATGAGGAATGGTCTTTTGCTCAAGCGAGTTTTGATAATACGGCCCCAGCTCTTCATGGCGTACTGCGGTAGCTTGTTGGTGGCATAATTTGGTCCATACTCCTATTAATCATTGAATTAGTTTTAAAAATTAAACTAATTGGTATTTTGATGCCAAATATTACAATTAGTTGTAGTGTTTTATTTTGTTCTTGTTCGACATAATTTGATTTCATGAAATTAGCAGAGAGCACATACGTTAACAAGTGACGAGAACACCTCCCCCGCCTCATTTGACTGCGTGGTCTCACGGCAGGTTCCTGGTGATGGGAACCTTCATCACGGCCCCCACCGTCTACGTCTGGGTTAAGATCGCCAGCAAACTGGTGCGCGGCAACTCCCTGAGACACGCCATGCTTAAGGTGCCGGCGGGCAGAGCAATCAATTCGTTTTAAGAGACGTCGATGAAGAATGCTGAAGTGTACCGTTATTCAAACTGATTACTGAATATTTCAAATTAAAAATCTCTTTAGTTCATAACGCAAAATTCATTTGCACAAATAATTCTTATTCCGAAATTTTATTATTTTTCTGATAGGAATCCCAAAAACTGTCCGACTGAATTGCCACCATCAATCACATGATTTTCCATAGTAGATTTTCGAAAAGGAGTAAGAAGTTTTTTTGGAGTAACTATTCTGTCTAACAGCTAGGGATGATGTCTTGAGTTTACAGGAAGGATGCTTTCTGTTGTCAGGCGCTGTACGACATTACGCTGTTCGCTCCCGTGGGCCAGTCGCAATTCTATTTCGGCATCTCGGCCCTGGAGGGCAAGTCCCTCGCTCAGTGTACCGACGAAGTCAAAGAGAAATTAATTCCTAGCTGGAAGGTACGTTGTTGCTATCCTGAATCTTATGTTGTCAAATGGTTGGGAATTTCATCATTATAAACCATCCTAAATATATACTAACAATTTTAAGGTCATGCGATTCGCGGTCGCAGATTAGTTTGTACAAATTTTCACCCATATTGGTTTGTGCAGACGAATTTTTATTATTATTCAGCCAGTTTTAACTCAATTGATTCATTTTGAAGAACTCAAAGATAAACATACAAATAGGATGTTTGAGTTCATAACAAATGCTCTCCTTGTCTTCACTCGATCACCAGTTAGATGCATTTCTCACTCCTAAAGTTATTTCCCTTATGCATATACGATTTTTCTGCTAGGTTGCTGCGTGCTTCTGGCCCATTGTTCAAACCTTCAACTTCGCTTACGTCGCTGAGCGGAACCGCGTGGTGGTGGTGTCGGTGGGGAGCTTCATATGGACGATCTTCCTGTCGTACATGCACCACACGGACGTACAAAACCGACCGAGTTTCCTTAGACCTAAGAGAACAAATTTGGAACCGCAGCCCTGACCGTTGCACATCTTTTAGTTCCTGAATCCATAGTGAAAGCTTTCATAGTTTCAGCTCAAACTGAAGTTCGATTGACGCGGATCCGCAAACATAACTCAATTTCAGCTAATAATTATGATTCATATAATTTGAACTCATGAAAACATGAAAAATCAAGAATATTGCCTGCTCTCATAAAGGAAATTATGTTTATTTTTCGTAACTAACCTGAAAACCAGGTAAGAGAAGCAAGAAACCAGAAATTATTAAATAGTCATGATGTGAGGGTCGTTGCGACTTTATGCGAAATTTGCTAGGATAACACAATATCGTATCTCATTAAATTAATAGTAAAGTATGTTCAGAGCACAAACACAATGTTCGTCATACTGTATCTATAATATTTAGTTTCGTTCGCTTATAGTTTAATCCAATCCGTAGACTCAATAACACGGCGGGCACCCTTCGCAGGTTCCGTTTGACAAATATGTTCGCTGCATCTGCAATTTATTAAAGATTAATGCAAATAATACATTTCAATATTCATCGATTACCTAATCTTTGAATTCTCACATTTCATTAAATATCAATCTGGCTTTTTGATTTCCTCGATTATGATATCTTAGCAGGCACATTGCACATGATGCGGTCATGTGCAATTGTGCGGTCAAGCGGCTCTTAAATTTACCTTGTTTAAATGCTGCGTGTTCCTGCTGTGAGTGGACAGCTATTGGGTTTTGCCCATCATTATAGTCCTGGGTGTGTATATATGTATGTTATTGCTGCAAACATTGTTAAATTCTGATAATCATTTAATCATTATTTATATTACTGAATTTTATTGCATCAAGAAGTTTATTGGATTTATTAGCTTGCGTTTCAATTACCCTTGAAAATTTCTCTCATTGTCGACAATAACTCCCAAATATTTTTCCAAACTAGACTTTTCAATCATTACTTTCTCGTTGCAACCATGTCTTCTCATACTGTAATCTTGCTGTTCATTGTTCTTCCCGAGGTGAAGTACTTTACACTTGTCAGCATTAAGCCGCAGCTGCCACGTATCAGCCTAGTCAACTAACCTGTTAAAATCATCTTGCATCTGTACTTTTTGCGACGCTTTCTTCACTGTATTATAAACTTTTGTGTCATCAGCATACATCGAGACACTTCTTATCTCCTGACACTTCTTCTGGCAGGTCGTTTATAAACGCAACAAACAAAATAGGCCCAAGAACGCTTCTTTGTGGCACGCCAATGCGCACTGACACGGTTCCGTTTAATAATGATACGTTGTCGTCTACCTATTAAAAAATCTCTGTTCAATTTGAGTATATTTCACTATTTTCCAAAGACATCACTTTAAGTCAACAACCGCTCATGCGGAACACTGTCAAACACCTTGGTAAAACCTAGGTACACTACATCCACTGGCTTCCTTTCGTCCAGCAGGCAATTGTTCAACGTAGACAAGAGGATAGTAGTAGAGGAACTAGCGGCAATAACGCCATGTTGACAGTATGATAGGAGATCACAGTCAAGTGATCGATAATCCTATCCCTCACAACAGATTCCATTATCTTACAAACTTGAGACTGACAGGGCGATAGTTACGGGGCCACTCTTGTCGCATGACTCAAGCTTGTAGTTTGATTGTTTTTTCGGAACTAAATTTGGCCTCAATTAAGCTTGTCGTAGATACGTCAACTAAATAAATATCTGAGGTCGCTCGAGTAAACTATTTCCGATTATGTTCAATATTGCGCAGTATTTCCATCCGATGTACTTGTCAAACTGTTCTGGAAGTCGACGAAACTTGCAATGGACATATGGATTGCGTTATTTGTTTGAATTCTATTCCATTTTTATTCACGTTCTGTAAATCCTAAATACAATCATGGTTCGTCTGTTTTTCTATGTTTTGGTGAGCCAGCTGGAGATGAGAAAAATCTAGCTTGCATTGAGTTTTTCTCAATTTCACTACAATTTCTTTTTTCAATCGAATAACCTTTTACAACTTTTTTTTGCGGATGTAAAGGTTTTCATTTCCATTTGTTCTTTCCTATCGATCAAAATTGATGAGCAAATAATTTAATGTAATATTTTTGTCGCTTGAAAATCTGTAGCTGGGACCATAGGATACAGACTTGCAAAATACAAGTTAAATGCAGTACAGCTTGGGACTGTACAAACGGAATAATAAAGTGCCATTAACCTTACTCCTACTGCAGTAGCCTATGAATCCTCAAAAAGAGTAGTAGACGAGAAAATAAAACATATTTTATTCGAAAGCATGGCGACTTGGGTGGGAAGTGACGAGTATACGAGCATAATAAGTGGACTGCAGTAGGGGCTTTGAAGGCCAGGTTCGGAGAATGCAGGACATGTTCTAGGTTCTCTCTTTGCCTAATCTGGAGTGGCCACAACTCAAGCTTGGCGCTGCGAGCACTTACCACGCCTGCTTGGCCTATGCATACAAAACGTCCATGGCTCTGCCTGCCTGCACTCCTTCACTTCACACCAACTTCTATTTCTTTCCCTGGGGAAAGCGGCGCACAAAAGATACTCGATCTACATGCCAACGCATCTTTGGTCTGAACGAGATAGCCTTCGTGTATCGATTGTGCCTCTAGTATTGATCTCGCTGTGCGAGAATTGGGTTCTGATCGAACCGTTATGTGAACGTATCAAGAAAATGTGATGAGAAATTATTAATTCAAAATTATGAAGAAGTTAACTAATTCTGATGGAACTTTTGAACGAAGTAGTTCAGATTCTTGAAGAATTTAAATAATTTTGATGTGAATTTTCCGGAACTCAATTTAGGCGCGATTCGCAGAAGAGACTGGGATTTTTTGTTGCCATTGACATGCACGATGCTAAACCTCAACACAACCTTAGCTAGAAGATTTTTCAAAACTCCCAAGCATGGAAATCACAACGATTTGTTAAAGTCCCGCTTCAGAGCGTATACGAGTCGTTGCATGGCGGCTTCCGTGTAAACGGTGATGTCGCACCAGACACCGCATATCTGCACCTCCATATTCTGCATACATAATTTTTCTGTAAAATCTAGCAGGCTTTAGGTGTTTCTGCATGATATTGCCGGATTGTAGAGAAAGGCGATGATCCAAGGTAAAGCACGTTCTTACCAGGGGGGCGAGGCCCCTGGAGCTTCTTGTGCGCCTCCATGCATACAAAAATATCGTTTGTTTTCGACACATTGTCGAAACAAGTTTCTTGTGATCAGGGTCGCTCAAAGTGCGGTCAGGCCTTGGTCTTCATTACACGTTGATGGATAGTAACGATCCAAGAAAAGAACAACGCAGTTCATCGTGTAGTACCAGATATTGACTACAGGAAACTTTTACAACAATTTATTGCAAGAAAATGCACTCTTTATCAACGTCATGTATCGAAAGATTCATTGTTTAAAGGAATACAATATAAATGTGGATGCTTAGCTATTAAAATAAGAGTCATTATTTAGAGACGTTTTATTGTCATAAAAAATGTCAGGATGCGTTACTTTCACATTGATCATTTGTTGATACGTAGCGGCAGCGAAGTCACTGAAGACGCTTTCTGATACTAGAATGTGACCATAAGTCAACAACAATAACCATGATGAGAATTGTTCCACACATTTTAATTCAAGTTCAAGAAAATACTGCATAATTATATATATATTTTTTGCATACAGTCCATGAAGACAAATACCGACATTGAATATTTCCTAGTAAATCATTTATTGAGCGTCCATTCATCAGCAGGGGTGCATCGACGCTCATCATGCGGGCGCTGCCGATAAACGCGGTCGAAATTTACTGCCACGCTCGTGATGAACGGCCGGGCTGCTGTGAAGTGAGCAGCGCTGTCTTCTTTGGTTCCATTTCATGCTTTCTTACCAGGCAAACGACGTTGAAATAGGCGTTGTTTGGTTGAATTACCGTTGACTATGCGTTGTTCCAACGTCATTTTCCTAGTGGGTTGTCACGTTACACGCAGACGAGCGCTACCGCGCATTCGTCGTTTTTTTCAGAAGCTGATAGCTCACGAATTGCAAGCATTTCGCCTGAATTAGATGACTGCACACATACAATCTAAAGTATCAAGATTTTGTATCCAAATATCTGAATACAACGGTAAGCACAAGGAATATTGCGTTTTAAAAAGTAATGCGTTAATGAAAACAGCCTTCTCATAAATATATATTGGACGCATTGAACTATATTAATGCAAACAAAATAATACATTGCCTGCTACTGATTACCATGTTATTATTATCTCTTTCCTCATCCTCACATAAATGAGGGTAATGGTCTCCGCAAGACGAATCGTTAGAAAGTAGTTTGGTCGCTGCCTCCATTTGTCATATTTCATTAGCATGAGGAAGACATTGCGTGTGACATCTCGGTGCTTCCTATCCGCGTCTCCTCACTTGCCGATTGCGGTCCTATGCTAATACGAACTAAATCAAACGAAGCACAAGGAAGTGCTTGCGAAGTTCCATTGCAAGCGCAAGGCTTCAAGAACCTGCATGGTGGTCGACGAACCAAGTTTCGATAAAACTATTTTGGGGGATCTAGTGTTAAATGCTGGGCGTAAAAGTCTCTGAACGCCTTAAAGTAAAGCGCACATCTGCATTCCAACTTGTAAAAAAATTAAAATCGAAAGAATAAAATAATTTTCAACTTTAGAAATTTTTTTTACAACACTTCTCTTCAACTTCACTTCTTGTTTGTTTGTCTGTCTGTCTGTCTGCTACATATCTTATAATCAAAATTTAGCACACTTCTACTTATCCTATCGATGTGAAATTTTGCACACATGCGTAAAGTTGGAGACAATACAAGAACCAAATGACAAAATAAATGATTTAAAATTTTTTTTTCCAATATTAAAAAATTGAAAAAATAATTTTGTCAGCTACAAATCTTATAACTGATATTTGACTCACTTTTACCTGTCCAATTGATCTAAAATTTTGCACACTTGTGTGAAGTCGGAGGCAATGCCTGAATCAATTGACAGAATAAATAATTTTGAAGAAAAATTTATAAATAAAAAAAAATGAAAAATTACTTTTTTTAATATTCGAAATTAATATGAGAATTTCATGGTACATCTTTAACATTGGAGACACTGGATTCTTTAGAAGTGTTGTCTTCAAAAAGTAATTTTTAAACGTATATTTTTCAGTATTTTATTTCTTGTGATTAGCGACCGTCAGACTTTATCGTCCGCATTTTTTCGCTGCACAGTGACTGGTTTTGAAATGACTGAATTTTTTATTATCAGCTGAAGAAACGTATATGATTTGTTTGGCAGGTTCTGGTATAATCTTTCGAAAGGTTCCGCTTGCGCGGAGAGCGGCTCCTTCTGCAGAGTGTCAGTGTGGCGGTCGACGTCGTACGTGGTGGGTGTGCGTCCTTAGCCTCCGATCGTCCACGTGCCCCTGCAAGCAAGTCCCGACTTCGATGCGTTTATTCTCTAACTTGATTTGAATAAATGATAGGGCACGTTTTCTTACTAGCCCAATCTAGTACTTTTGTGAAGTTCAATTTTGACTATAAGAACTTACAATTTCCGTGACAACTTTAGTCCTGTAAGCTGTAATTAGACTTGTATGCTTTTGTCAACTGTGATACCGCCTAACATTGTGCGATTTCAGAATCACCATATTAAAAATTACCTGACTTATAAATGTGTCTAGTAGCATTCACGAAGTAACAAAAAAAATTTTCCCTCAAGAATCAAACCTTTCATCTTGATTTTTTTTTGCCAAATTTTGCCTAGAAATTTCCAATACCGTATTACTGGACGGTCTGGATCTACCTCTCTCTGC